GGGTCAGCTGTCCTGGCTGTGCCCCCTCCCAGCTTCTTGTGCACCTCCAGCCTTCTCAGTCGGTAGAGCATGGGAAGCTGAAAAGTCCTTGACTAGTGTAAGCACTGCTTAGCAACAACTAAAACTTTGGTGTGTTATCAACATTGTTCTCACCCTAAATCCAAAACACAGCACTGTACCAGCTACTAGGAAGGAAATTAACTCTATCCCAGCTGAAACCAGGACACTTACCTTGCACTTTCTTCTACTGCCCATCTAATATTCCCACCTTCTTGCCTTCCACTTGCTAAACGTCCAGTCTCATGCTTTTGCCTGTGTCTTGGACTAATTTTTGGCTTTATGGGCTTTATCTTTATCCTGAAGCGGGGAGAGCTAGGGTAAGTCTGAAAAAAAGAGGGTAAGTAGCAAGATCTGTAAAACAGACGTGCCACAAACTGGCTTCTCCATAAAATCTGGCAAATGAAGGGGGTTTTATGACTCCTGCTGGTCCTGCAGATTACACCGGGTGTTTGGTCATGTATGGACTCCTCACCTATTCCACTCCTTTCTGCTGCGGGGTAGACATGCAATATGAGCTGTGCTCACAGGCTTGCCTTTGCCACAGGTTGTTAGCCTGGAAAACACCGGTTGCATTTCTGAGTTGAAAGAGGAAGTGTCTCATTTTAGCATTTACAGAATCCTCGTGTTGTAGTAGACAGGTTGGGCTTGCCATTTGTTACTCCCTTCTTAGACACAACGCATTTTATACAGTTGCACAGGACTTTTATCTTTCTTGGTGCTGCATCTCAGCCCAAGTTACCACCGAGATTTAAAATAAAAAGCAAGGGAGGATGAAGAGACTTCTGCATGAGTCTCCACTCTTAGGCCAGGGGACTATGAAATACCCTGAAACCTCAGGACAAACCTCACGTCTCCTTATGTATTTCTGTAATGTCAGTTATTAAGGCACATGCATTTGCTAAAAAGGGAAATGGTGACCAAGGAGAAAACATGCAGCCAGGTGTGCTCTGACGTCAGAGCTGAGATCTATACATTATTCAAGGGACACGTCTGCCATTCTGCCTCAAATGCGTTTCGTACCATCTCAGGTTGGGTGTTAGGGTGTTTCACCATTTCAGTTTTAGGGGCTGTGTTTTGTTATTTGCTGTTTATTAGCTGGCTTTCTATTCAAGCACAATTGAATGAGCATGGGGGCTGATCCTGTAAAAAAAAGAAGTCAGCATTTTGGCTTTGGGTTACACAAGGTCTGGATAAAAGGCTGTGGAGCAGTTTGACCATTGTTATGAGGAAAGAACTAAGAGTCCATAATTAAAGCACACACTGAAATCAGCTTAGAAATATGGTTTTTTAGACTGAATGTATATAAGGATGTGGCTTCAAGAACATGGTGTAAAAGGTGGTACTTCAAGGCAGATTTTTTAAGTGTGTGGTTTTCACTGAATGATAGAAGTTTGTTCTTAAATTTCCAACTGTCTTTGAATCATGTCCTCTCCGTACAGCCGGGGCTGAGAAAACTCTAATCACTGTCATGCCTAAACACAGAAGGAGGGGGGCAGGCAGGTAAGGACTAACCCAGCTCCTACTGCAACCCGAGTAACTCTCAAGGGTCCGAGAGTTACTTCTACTGCTGAATCAAGCCTTAGAACTGGATAATGTTGGAGTCTGCAGTTAGAGACAGCACAGCCAGCCAGGGACAGCAGTTTTGCAGGAACGCAGACGTGAAGTATGGCCAATGGGAGGCCAAAGAAGTGCCTAACACTACAGAAACAGAAGATTTCAGGGAGCTCAGGATGTGGAAGCAAGGCAGACAATGGTTGTTCTTAACTGCACTGATCTTAAGGAATTTGGGAGCTGGGTGGACTATCTTTTGATGTAGGTTAAAAAGATGTTTTAGGCTGGTGGACAGGAAAAAGTAACCCTGCAAGTGAGATATATAAGGTTCTTAAATGGACTTTGAGGGCAAATGGATCAAGAAAATTGAGCTTCAGCCTTAAGCCATGAGTCATGTTCAGAAGCACAACATGTTCAGGAACCCCTCTGAGATTTCCTAATGAAGGGATTGCTTCATTGTTAAATTTTGATCATAATTTTCTCTTTTTTTGTGTGTAATTTTTATGCCAGGAGGTAAAGGAGGTTTGGGCAAGAATGGTATGCAATCTCTGCACAAGAGAAGCCTTCAACAGCTGTTTTAGTCTCTTCACAGCTTTTAACATGTCTTGTGTTTATTACATCATCTAGCAGTAGAGATTATTTTGGAGAATGCTCAATAGCATGGACATTCTTAAAATATTGTAATTATTGTATATTATCTCTCAGTGCACCCATCCACTTTGTCTCAGGTGGAAGTAGACTCCTACTCTGATAGTCCTTCCATGCTACAGAAAAGGCTCCAGGCTTCTTCAGTTACTGCAGATTAAATTGCAAATAAAACATGGGAGCTTCAGCTGCTTCCCCTGCTAATGCATATAGAGCTCCAAGAATTGGGCTGAATTGTGTTATTTTAATCAGTTGTCACCAATAATGGAAGTCCGGCTGTCCACATTTCTGCCCTCAGTGACATCTCTCACCATCACCAGGATCTGAACACAAGGGTAACTGTCATTCTGTAAACCATCCTCTGGATGAGGCACAAAAAATAGTAGCCTCCAGCTCACCCTATTCCAGCTTTGCAGACTCTGTAGGGTGAGCACAGATGAAAAGCTGTTGATGATTAATCACTCTAGATTAGATTGTCACTCTGACACTTACAGAGAGGAAAGCTGAAAAACAGGTCTGTTATTACATGATTTTTCTCCATGATCATTTGCACCCTAAGAAATGGTGAAAAAAATCACCACAGGCAGGAGGAATTTAGCAAACTCCACAGCACTCTTTTACTAATGCTTTATGCCCTTCTGTTCATGAGGGCAAATGCTTTTCATGTTGAGGCTTGAATTTTCCTTTCATATAAAGGAAATGATGGGAAAACAGCCATTTACTTCCACTGTGGTGCATTTGTGTAATACACTAGAGAGGGGGAGAAAAAAGATACAATGAGTGAAAAATGTTATAGCGCAGTGAAGTTTAGGTATGTATTTTAGAGGTAACCAAGATAAATAGATTAGATGCAGAACTGCAATACAAATACTACTTGATACCATAGATAGGAGGGTGCTGCTTGTGGTGCACGTTCAGGCAGAGCTCCCTTTAGTACACAGAGGGCTGGGCTCTCTTGGGTGGTCTTACAGGGTCCCCTGTGGTCTTGCCTTTCAGTATTCCGGTAGAGAACTAAAATATAAAAATAGAAAAAAGTTAAAATACAAACACATCTTAATTTGTAGCAAAAATAAATATTTTGAGGAACCCCAAAGCATTTTTGCCCAAAATGCTTTTTAACATAAAATTTAATCATTCAGCATTTCATTCTCCCTGAAGAAAAATTGAAAACTGTGATAATGGAATTTCTCACAAAATGCAATTTCTCTTTCCTGCATAGCTCTTATCTTACACCCTCACGAAATCTCTGGGGTAGCGTATGTATGGCTGAGGAATAGTTGACTAAGGGAACCACCCAATCTTTTGCTAAATTCCAAATATCCTAATGGGTCTACTGGGGAAAAAGGGTTGAGCAGAGGGCATTTTGGCCCTCCCTGTCTATCTTTTGGTAGATAACTAGAGAAAAGCTGTAAGAAAGGAATAGGAAGAAGCAGTTTTAACTTACTATATGGTTGCCTTCTGGGCTGGCAGCCCAGTTGACCATTTGTAAAGTAGATTCCCTGCTTGCTTCTCCACTAACGTCCCCATTTGGTTTTCCGGATTCCAAGACACCAGATTCCCCTGGAGAAACAAAGAGGAATGTAAACTTTCATGCATAAGTGCCTACAACATACAGAATGAGATGATATTTCTCCACCATAACACTGTTCTCTTCTTTTATGCTCCATTCAGCTCCTAATTAATTTGGGATTCCAGAATGAAGTATATTGAAATCGTATGACATTCTGGTTTACTTCATCATCCTCTAGCACATCCATGGGATCTAGGGGCGTGTGTTGGTTTTCCTCACCCTTGTGTCAAAACCACATTTGGAAACATTAGAGCTAAAAGCACTAGGAGACCGTCTCCCTCCTCCCACCCCGTGAGGAGTACAGTAACATACAAGACAGTGCATGCTTTATTTGCAAAGGAGGATCATCTCAAACTTGCACCTCAGATGTAGGACTAGCTTACTGCAATCAGGAAAAAGGAAAAAAAAAATCAGATGGACTGTTGAAGGACGTATACACCCACAGAACTCGTCCCCAGCTTGTCCTCTGTAAAAACAAAGGAAGCTGATCTGAATGGACCAGAACTGCAACACCGTCATGATACAGCTCAGAAAATTTCCTTTGAGTTCAGTGCCAGTCCAGACCTCAGGGGTCAGAGGTAGTTTTCTGTTCAGTACAGACAGAGGGTGACTTAGATTCACCAGAGCCGTCAAGGAGCAATGCAGAGCAAAATATATTTGAGACTTTTGCAATATTTTAATGCTACCAACTCATTCAGAAAGAAAACCTAGGTTTGATGAGAAAGGCATCTATGGTCTTCTGATTCTTGTCCATCATTGAGTACCTTGTACATCAACAGCCTCATCATGCTAACAACTAATGACAATGTTGCAGCTGCTGAATTTGCTGCTTTGGGAATGCAGACAAGACATTCTTGGCAGCTTTGAAGAAAAAAGGGTTCTAAGTGAAATCTCTCCCCTGAAATATCAATGAACTTCAAAATGCACTGAGGTTACCTTGCGTTTGTATCAGAGAAGCTGTAAGGAAGACCAGCGGTATCACCACCTTTTCCAGTGTTTTTGCTATCTTGAATGAAGCCCCCATGGCAGGCAGAGAGAAGAGAGGAAGAGCTCTGGATGTGTTTGAAGAAAGTCCCCGTGTCCCGTCCCCCCCCCAGTGAACCTTACTGTAGCAAAAAAAAGACGTTTCAGAATGAACTACTCGAGTCTCCTACCTTACAGGAAGGTTGCCTATATGGATTGGAGAGTCCAGCTATGCAGATAGGTGGTTAGCTGATCTATTTCAAAGACAGTAGACTACGGTATATCCTGTCATTTAGGAGAAGCTGTGTGAGTTTCACCACTGCAAGACACTTGAAGTCCAAGAAGTGATGGAGTCTTTGGCTTATTGATGAACAGCAACACATCTCCAGCATGTGCACACCAAATACCCAGCTGCAGGCAAGCAAGTCCTATGAAAAGGTACAAAATGAACCAATACAGCTCACAGAAGTTCCTCCATGTTCACGGCTTAGGGCCTAACCAGATCCTTAGTCTCCCAAGCACTTCCACTGGAAGACCTGCTGGGATGCACCATAGCTCCATTGCTGATCAAGCAACCAAGGGGGGATACACAGCTGTCTCCTGTCTTCTGCCCACATGGAGGCAGGACACAACTGAGATCAGATCTCCCACCTTGAAGTTCTCCTGCCTGTAAAGATGGCTTTGCTCTGGGATGATTTCCTACATAGGCAGGTAGAGAGCTTTTTCTAACCAACTTCTCACACTGATGACTTGATGCCAGGTATTAGCCAGAACAGCATTTCTGTTGCTTTCCACATAAGTAGACTTTGTTACAGTTTCTCTCAGAAATTGATGCAATGGTGAGAATTGCTAGGCAGAGCCTGAATGTTGAGCGTTCTGCTAGCTTGGAATTCAGCTATCTAGGGAAGAAGTTGTACAGGGTTGAAAAGATGAACGATAGTACCTCCTTCCACAGATGAGTCCCTCCTATTCCCACACTTCAGCCTTTAAAAAGAGTGTGTGGAATTTCCAAAGAAAACGGTTTGAAGCTACCCCTAGTTTAGGATTTTAGTTTTTCTTTTTACATGTTTATATCTGCCTTCATCAAGGTCCTAAAATGTTTTCTCTTGCCTGTGCAATTTAATCGAGGCCATCCTTTTAATGGCTTGTTTGCATTCTTTTAATTATCTCCTTCAGTCTTTACCCATGCATTACTGTGTCCAAGAATAAAAGGGATGGTGCTTATCAGCAAGGGCTGAGAGAATGGCTGAAAGGCCAGGAAAAAAAAGGCCAAGCCAGAACAGCAGGAATGAGTGTCACTCATAGCTCCGGGATGTGCCTGAAGCCAGAGAGAGAGAGAATGCAATACAAGGAATTGGGGAAGCTCCAGGGAAAAGGAAAGGGACAGAAACAAAGGGGAGAGACAACTCCATAGTGCCGGATTTACAGTCACATATGATTTTTTAGATGTTGTGTAATATGTATAATGTCATATATATAACCAATGACCAAGCAACCTTGTTTTAACAATTCAGTAACAGATAGGCCATTTTCCTTTCAAGCTGTGTCTGAGAAGGATTTTGCCTTTATGTTTGAGAGCAGGGGTGTGTGAGCATGAAACAGATGGAAGGAGAGAGTAATTTTGTTTGCCCATGTCCTTAGTATTGTTAGGATGAGAAACCATCGCAAGCTGTCCCTGAGAGCAACCCGGCTGATGAAGCACAGAGCTGATCAGCTGGTGCAGCTCCACCGGCCAAGAAGTAACTGGAGCCCAGCAGGGATCTTCAAGAACTTGCTGCACACCTGCCCAACCATCATCCATAGCTTTCTGTCTGCCAAGAGCCGTCAGCTGGGAAATACTTCCCAGTAACATTTCAGAGATGCTAAATAGATCATAAACATGGACAAACTCCCCCAAATTCAGTGAACACAATTATATTCTCTGCTCGTGGAGCATGAAACTCAGATTGAAGTTGTTAAACTTGCCTTAAATGGTATAGTGCATTGCCAAAACCACAGGCCAGTGTGCCAAATTCTCAGTAACCAGAAGAAAAGAGTCACTTCGGTTTTAGTTAACAACTTCTAATTTTAACCAGAGTACTTTCCCTCCTTCAGAGTTACTGGGCAGTATACGCATGCTTCTTATCCAGTTGTCTACACAATGCAAATGGCTGCCTTTCAGATGCTAGGACCTGCCACTGAAATTCCCTGAGATCTGCCTGCAGCAACTGGGGACCTTGTTATCTGTGTGAGTCCCTCTTGGGCTTATAATCAGTGATGATTTCTAAATGGTCCTGAAATGCCTTTCCCTTTGCTGTGTTTGCATACGCAGCATCTGGGTAAACGTGCGTTCAGCTGCTTGTTCTGAAATGAAGACTTTCTACTTGGTAGGGCCTGTATGCCAGGAATTAATGACTGCTGCTGCGCGTCCCTTTTCAGTAGCCTGCTATTATTGAACAAGTTACATATGCAAAACCACATCACTGTAGCTCTCAAAGACTTTGGAATTTTTCTTGTTTCTAAAGAAAGTTGGAGCTAACTAATTTGGACTGGCAATTTCATTTGGTTGTAGGGGTTATCTGAGAGTCTGATGTGAAAGACAACTATCTTAAGAATCTTACAGCTAGAATCAGATCAGGTTGGTGAATGACAACAACATGCAGGTCCATTTTGGGTCAAAATGTCACCTGCCACCTCTTCTTTTATTATCTCTGTTTTTTAAACAATTCTTTCTCCACTGGTATTTGAAGACCTGGATTTATCTCAGAGCACCTGGCAAACAAAAGGATGATATCAAGAAAAATGTGACCATTTTCTTGTACTATTCCTGTGATGCTCTGCTTTGTGGGGCAGGGATTCTGTCTTTAGACTGTACTTAACAGAGCAGCATCCTGCTTCATGACAACAGCTCAGAGGTGTTACAGTCATACAAATACTAAATGTTGTTTTTCTTCTAGTCTGACTAACATAAGAACAAACACCAGCATGTCAAGTGCTTTACTGAATCTCTTTATTGATTTCTGGTGCATATACTATAGAAACATGGTACATTATCAACAGCAACAACATGGCTTAAGTATAGGTAAGCTTAGATACAGGGAATAATTCTAGAAATAATTGCTATACAGACACCTCCTACTCAGGGTCTGCAAATCATTGATATCAGCCTGCCCCAAAGGAGTTATAATGTAACTGATGAGAACTGGAAATAATATAAAAACAGACAGCAAAATAATAATTACAAACAAATGCATTTGAACCTGAGGTGGCTTAGTTCCAGTGGAGGACTCTGATTTAACTGAAGCTACAGCAATTGGGGAAAAAAAACCCCAAACAAATACAAAATTAATTACTACCCCAAGACAGAAACAACATATTGTATCTCAGTGAGATACTCTTCTCTGGACAAGTAGATCAGAATAATTTCATTCAAGCCAATGTGGGGATGAGACTGAGACTTCTCTACTAAATGAATATAGTTTCTTGCACCTTCAATACCCCTTTCTTATGAATCCCACTAAAGGCTGACAGGAGAAGAAAAATCACATCCAAACCTGGGCTTCATAGAAAAGTTCAGTGCAACCTTTCACATTCCCTGTTTTATCCATGGATTTTTGCACTTGCACATATGGAATCACAAAGCTTATCTATATTGCAAATTGTTGCAAAATCAAGTCAGGTGTGAATTAAAAGTGATGTCTCAAACCGGACCACCTGGTCACGGGTGTTGTCTAAACAAGACCCAAATCCAACTTCTGATGCAGCAGCTTGAGCCTATGCCTTGGTACATGCACTGATATAATTGGATGGTTGCTGGTATTACAGGATTAAGCAAATTCCAAATAAAAGTAATAATATATGTTTTGTCCATATATGGAGAGGTTAGCGGTTTAATGGAGATCCTGGAAGACATAACTGAAGAGTGAGCAGACTGATGGCATGTCTTCTTTCATAAAGGTCTCTTCAGAGAAAATAATGTAAAAGTAAACAAGCATTATGTCTTGTTTTGTTGAAGAAGCAGAGCCTTCCTGCGCCGAGTTACCTGAGAATAAAAGAGACAAAAGCTAATAGAAGTAGAGTATCTTACTGATGTTCAACCTGCTGTGAGTGTCCTATGAGTAAAGAGAGAGCACCCGTATGCCATGAGGACCGTGGCAAGACGTGCCGTGCCTTGGGATGGAGGTGTGGTAGTGCACATATGACTAATGAGCTGCTCAGTGACACGGGCACTAGTTCTGGCACAGGATGGGACATGTTGTCTTCAGCATGGCCAGTGATGGCTTCCATGGAAAGCGACCCGGAGGAGTGATTAAACACACTTTGTAGCTCTACAAGAAGCACTAAGTGTGGATGGGAAGGTTTTCTCTGGAAGGCTGTTCACTGCTATTCCTAGTCCGAATCAGACAACTGTTTTCCTGGTTTCCTTCAAATCCCAGACCGAACAACACAGCTTGCCCGTCTCCTGTCACTTCACCAGGTCACTGTCCATCCTGGCCCGGATAGGGGTTATGAGAATCACCTCCAGCTGCACCCAGCCATGTGCTTTTTTCATGTCATGTCAGGCTTGTGGGGTTATTTCACTCCACAGCTGGGAGAAACCTATGATTAAGTGATGAATTTTCTTGCAGTAAAAGCAGCAGAGCCCAATACTTGCTCTTGCAGGTGGTTCTGCCGAAGCTGCTGGATATTCAGATGTGCTCCATTAAGTGCCGTATGCATCAGCAGCAGGGAGCTAGATGTTATGATGTGCTCCATTAAGTGCCGTATGCATCATCAGCAGGGAGCTAGATGTTACCTAGTGTGATTGTGAATTGCTGGCTGGCTGAATTTGTGACGGTGACCTTAGCATTTGGTTTGGGATGTTTCCTTGTACCTCCTCTGAGAAACGCAGACGTATGGTATGGAAATACAAACACGGCTAAAAATGGCTTACCCTGTATGTCAGCAGGAGGGCAGGGTCTGCCTCAGAGGTGGTGACATTTCACTGCCAAGACGACGACAGTGATGAGCAGAATCGCTGCAGTGAAGTACAGGGCGACAGCAACATAACACCAGTGTGAGTTCTCCAAGCAGGTCGCTGCC